TTGGGAAAATACAAAATAATAGAATTCGGCGTTTGAAACTAAAGTTATTTTTGTTTAATTTTAAAATAAAATATTTGCCTGGCAAAAAAATGTATATTGCAGATTTTTTATCAAGATGTAATGTAAAAACACCTATATATCATGATCATTTAATGAATGACGTTGTGCATGTAATAACAGATAAAACTTTAAATATTTCTGATGAAAAATTGAAAGAATTTCAAGAAGAATCTCTCAAAGATAGTGTTCTATCTAATATTATAAATTTTTATAAAAATGGTTGGCCAAAAAATTTCAATATGACCGGTGAATTAACTCATTATTACAAATTAAGAAATAATATAGAACTTGCAGATGGTTTACTTTATTATAATGATCGATTGATGATACCAAGTTCAATGAGAAAATTTATGTTAAACTTATTACATGAAACACATTCCAGTGCATCTAAAGTGCTTGAAATTGTTAAAAATTTCTTTTACTGGCCAGCAATCATAAATGATGTTAAAAATGTGGTGTCTTCTTGTTCATTATGTCAAAAATATGTCAGATCAAAGTCAAAAGAGCCCCTTATAAATCATACCATACCTAATATTCCATTTTATAAAATTGGTGCTGATATTGCACAATACGCTGGTAAAAATTATCTTGTTATTATAGACTATTTTTCTAGATGGATTGAAATTTGTCCGATTAAAAATAAAACTTCTACTTCTTTCATAAAAGAATTTGAAGGCGTTTTTAGTAAATTAGGAATTCCTTCTTTGCTAATTACTGACAATATGCCATTTTCATCTTTTGAGTTCAAAATGTTTGCTAAAGATTGGAATTTTACTATTCAAACAAGCAGTCCACATTATCCTCAATCTAACGGACTGGCGGAAAAAGCCGTTGGTATTGCCAAAACTATGCTCAAAAAAGCACATGATTCTGGTATCGATTTGGAATTATATTTGCTAAATTATCGTAATTCACCTGTAGCAGGTCTTATTTACTCACCAGCACAATTGATGTCAAGTAGAATTTTAAGATCCAAATTACCAATTTTATCAGAAAATTTAATACCGAAACTTGTACCTAGTGCAGTTTTCACAGAAATGGAAAATATGCAAACCAGGCGAAAAGAGTATTACAACAAAAATAGTATCGGTGAAACTGATTTTGTTGAGGGGGAAAAGGTATTGATTCAAGACGTTTCTACTAAGCTTTGGCATCCAGGAGTTATTATTAGTAAATGTTCACAGCCTAGATCTTATTTAATTAAAACATTGGATAATGAAAATGTTTTACGAAGAAACTCACGGTTTCTACGAAAATATAAAACAAATTTAATTTAGAATTTGAAGGGGAAGATGTTAATATAGGTAATATTAACATAATAATTACCTATATTAATAGACACTTACCAGTTAAACCAGTTATGCCAGTTTGATAGATATATGATTGTTGTTGTCAATTAATATAATAATTGTAATATTAAACGTTCCTGAATAAACCTATATTATAAAATAAAACACTCGTAGTAAGGCACTTCGCGTTCTTGGCCAATCGCGCTTTATTCAGTCGCGTTTTTGTTCTGTCGCGCTTTTGTCCATCGCGTTTTTGTTCCGTCGTGATTTTGTCCCTCGCGCTTTTCTCTCTCGCGCAAACGGTTGTCGCGCAAATGACACAGATCCCATGCATAAACTGGCATTTTTTAATTGTTGATTTCAACCAATCAGATTACGATTACGTGATAATTTGTACTAGTGCAGGATTATCGGATTGGATAATTGCTTACTAACGGGTGGCATTTGACATTTTTTCTGATTGGTGACATTTTATACTTACGAGGATATACTAAAAATTGAAATTTTTGATACATGAAATTCTCTCATAAAATACAACTTGAGCAATGGAAATATATCTATAATTTTTGAGAAATTTGCTCTCATGCATTTTTAACTGGAAAAGGCACTCGTCACTCGTACTTTTTTTCAACTAAAAATGCATTCGGGAAAATTTGCCAAAAATTATCGATAATTTCCATTTTATCCCAATTTAATTTTATTTCTAATTTTATTTAATTTTCTGTATAAATGAGCACACGATATTTCGCTTTCTGATTTTTGAAACCTATATAAGGCCTCCAATAGAGTTTTCCTAAGCTAGAGAAAAAAAAAAACTGAAAAATTATTCTCAAAAAATTTAGAAATAAATATTTGTTCCAACAAATGTTGAGTTTCACTAATTAAAATATACTTACAGGGTGCACAAAAATCAAGGGTGGGAGATCATTTATAAGGGAACACCCTTTTACTCACCTAATTTTATACTGCCCTTCGTTTTTTGTGATGATGTCGGTCTAACTTAACGGCAAGCTTGCGAAACGCAAGTTTTTTTCAAACACGATTTTTTCATGGAGAAAAAGAGCGGCAAATTTTTGGGTATTCACATTTAATTAGCGGCAAAAAGCGGCAAATGTCCACAGCTTTTCTCTACCACTCAATTTTTCTCTACCGACATTTTTAATGATACTGTTTTGCTCACTTGATGTCAACTTAGCAAAACACATGATATTTTTTTCAAACGCGATATCTTCCACTCACTCAATAATTTATCACTACATTCACTACCGACATTTTTAGTGATCTCGCTAACTTTACGTTAAATTAGCAAAACATTATTTTATTTTCGAACACGATTTTCTTATGAAAAGAAAGGTAGCGGCAAATTTTTAGTTTCCACATCTAATTACCGGCAGAAAAACGCCAAATTTCCATTCACTCAACTTATCACTACCGACATTTTTAGTGATATTGTCTAGCTAACTTGACGTCAAGTTAGCAAAACACATGATTTTTTTTTCAAACTTGATTTTTTGTAAAAAAAGAAGCGACAAATTTTTGGTTTTCATGACTAATTAGCGGCAAAAAAACGGCAAATTTCCATTCATTCAATTTTTCACTACCGACATTTTTAGTGATAATGTCTCGCTAACTTGACGTCAAGTTAGCGAGTCAAGTTAGCAAATGATTTTTGTTTCAAACTTGATTATTTATGGAAAAAAAAAGAACCGGCAAATTTTTGGTTTACACAACTAATTAGCGGCAAAAAAATGGCAAATTTTCATCTACCTAATTTTTTACTGCTGACATATTTAGTGATGTTGTCTCGCTATCTTGACGTCAAGTTAGCAAAACACGTAATTAAGAAAAAAACCAAAAGAGAGGCAAATTTTTTAATTCCACATTTAATTAGCGGCAAAAAAGCGGCAAATTCTTGGCATAACGGAAAATCGATTTTCCGAAGTTGTCTCGCTAAGTTGATAGACATCGAATATTTTCAGTTTAAAAAAATTTAACTCTTTCCATTCTCGGATCGAATCGGATGGAACTTTACTTTTTGACTCACTGGTGAACAGTAAAAAGTAAACGAAACGATAAACCAATTCTTAATTTACGTTTTAAGCTTAAACTGCTCGATAATGGATCTTCAAATTCAAATAAGCCGTGTCGAATTAATTATATTTTCCTTTTGTCACTTTTGTAGAAAATAAATAAATATAAAAGTAAAAACAGAAAAAAGTACAAAACGATTTTGGGTCAGGGATTTGTTTAAACATCAAAAAACTCAACGTGTTGTCCATGACTTGTTACAAGAAATGAGACAGACAGATCAGGAGGAGTATCTAACTAAAAATACCTAAAATAATGTCCAGCAATACATTCCAAAATCTGCTAAAAATCATATCTAATTGTCAATCAAGATGGGAGCTTTTTCAGATTTGGGCATTTTGCAGTACCTACATAAAATCATTAAATAACTAGTTATTTACATTCCAAGCTGCGAAAGCGTACTTTTAGGTGCGAGGTGTATTCAAATAGCCGAGGCAACCGAGGCAGCTAAAAGGGCTTTTGCAGCGTGTAATGTATTAAACATTTCATTCTTCTCCTTCAAAAATCGTGAACAGGCATGCGAAAGTGAAACATTGAAACATCCGAAAGTGAAAGTAACTACTAGCATGTTTCACTTTTGCTTTCGCTTGCCTATGCAAAATAAAAAAATCTACTTTCGTAGGGGGTAGAATGAAAAAATGTTCTCATATATTATTATCCAATTTCATATAATTTTATACAGGGTCTCCTATTTTCAAAACTCAAGTATCTGGCAACCCTAATTCTCACATCAAAATCGAGAAAATCTGTTTTCTTTTAAAGATAAAAGTCAAAGTGACATTATGTTGGCAATACAATGTAAAATTGTCAATGCTTTCAATTTTTTTATGTAGAAAAGGCTTGTGTTGCCAACATAGTTACTAAATTTCTGACTTGGGGAATTATCTTTAAAAAAAAAAACATACTTTATTCTGGCAATTCTTCAAACAAACATGTCATTGAAACAAACTAAAATAAGGATTTTTTAGCGACTCTGTTTATTAACCGGATCACCAGCTGTCACAACTATGTCTTTTTTCATGGTATCAAATCAATGGCCTGTATGCACAAAAATACTCACTTCCTCAAGGGTAAAGTCTGTTTTTTTTTTTAAAGATAATTCCCCAAGTCAAAAATTTAGTAACTATGTTGGCAACACAAGCCTTTTCTACATAAAAAATTTGAAAGCATTGACAATTTTCCATTGTATTGCCAACATAATGTCAGTTTGACTTTTATCTTTAAAAAAAAAACAGATTTTAGTATTTATGATTAGATCATAATCCTCATCAAAATGCTTTGTTGCATACACACATTAAACACTCGATAGTTAATCCCTTGAGACTTGAGGGCAGTTTCTCAATAGCCAGTCACCTCCGGGTTGGTTTTAACTCAAGGGTAAAAATGTCCAGTTGCAATGTTAACCCTGAAGTTATGCTCAACCCAGGGGTGACTTATTATTGAGAAACCGGCCCTAGGATTGTTAATCCAGCTTCATCTGGTCAAAGACATGTTCAAGAAGTAAGGTAAATTGAGTATAGGCCGTATAGGGTGAACCAAACAAACTTATGTTCTAATGTTTACCTCGTCCGAAGAATCCATTTCAACTAATTTTTAATGTTCACCTAACAAAGACTAATTGAAAATTAATTAACAGAAACACAATTTATTTCTGTATTCAAGCAGAATAAAATCAAAAAACTTTCTGCGAGGCAAAATTTTTCGGAAATACAAAAAAGTTGGGTTATGTTTGTTTATTTTGATAACCAACAACGTGTTTAAAAAGGTGCATTCAGCCACCGTCAATTGATTGAATTCATCGAACGTAACGTAACCACTACGAATGCGTCTGCAAATTGTCCTCCTCGGGGAGCAGAACCACGCCACCAAGGATAATACACACTACTACTACAGGATAGCTCATCTTCATAAGGGCCGGTTTCTCAATAGCGAGTCACCCCTGGGTTAAGCCTCACTCCAGGGTAAACATCTTACGTTTACCCTGGAGTTAAAATCTACCCGGAGGTGACTCGCTATTGAGAAACCGACTCTAAGTGCGCGCTCACATTGGCGCCGCTCGAGCGGTGAGCGTTGCGCGATGCCGCTGTAGCGATGCCCAAAAATAATTTTACCATTATATTTCGAGTGAACATGTTAACACCGCGGGATGCGCCGCTCCAGTGTGACCATGTTCATTTGAAATATAATGTTAAAATTATTTTTGGGCATCACTACAGCGGCATCGCGCAGCGCTAACCGCTCGAGCGGTGTCAATATGAACGCGCACTAAGGCCTGTGCAATTTCAACACCTGGGGCGAGTTCAGAAATAACACACCTGGTGTGGGTGCGATTTTATGGGTGTGCTTGAAATGACAATTCTTAGGCGACAACTTTCGTATGAATTTCTGAACGCTTGGTGTGACCAATCGAGTATCTCCCACTGATCTCAAAAATAAATGGATAAACAAAAAACGCTTCTAATGCTGCTAATTTACGAGGTCATAATCTAAACAAAAACAACAAACAACTGACTCGGACAGCTGTGAGCGTGCGCAGTAGATACATGTACTGTGTGTGCACAAAGTCTGGCCAATGAAAATGAAGGAATTTCAAAATTTAGAACAGTTTTTCGAAAGATAAGACACTGCGCAGGCGTTAGGCTGTTACGTTGCACAACTGTTCGTAGAATATTGACCCCAAATTTTCGCACAAATTTTGCCAATCAAGCCGTATGATTGTTTATCCATTTATTTTTTAGATCAGTGGTATCTCCTCAAAAAATTTCACCAAATGTATTAAGATTGCTTTTTTTTGTTGTTAATTTTTTTAATTTGTAGAAAAAACTTTAATTTTTATTTGTGTTTTGTTTATATTTGGTAGGATCGTGGAATTATGGGAGGAATGGTTGATATTGTTGCAGTGGCGGACCTAGGACCTTCGGGGCCCGACGCAAATTTTTTTTTTGGGGCCCTGTCATGCTTTTTTTAGGTATTTTTCTTGTGGTGTTGGGTGTGAGGTGAGTGTGCGGAAGTTATTTATATTTTTGAAGTTTTTAACAACTAAATATAGAAACAAATTTGATCAAAGAACAAGTTTATCAAGAACATATGAGACAGAAAACAAGTTAAACGAAAAAAAAACTTGTAAAAATTCAGGAACCGGGAACCGTTTATCTAAACAAAAAGAAATACAACATAGTATAGTCCAACAAATACCATTTTAAAGTCAAGTGATTTTTCTCTATCCTTGTTGAATACATCTCAAACAGCAGTGATAGTAAAATTGACAAAAAAATTGCTGTCTAATTATTGTTCATAATATTTTTACCTGGAAATAGAATCCATCACTGTCATCAATTAGTTTGTCAAAGTTATTTTCGAAAATAATACAACGAACAAACACAGCTAATAATTTTGACCATATTAACCTTTTTCCAACTCGAAAAGAAGCAAATAGAAAACGGGTAGGTACCCAGTTTAAGTTCAGAATGTATTACAACAGACATTAGATGCGACAAAAGTGAGTCTCGCAACAATTACAAGTATTAAAATTGCCCTGTGATTGGTCAATACTACTTCAGAAACGCGTTTGTAAAATGCTAGTGGGAACATATATTAAAATTCAATGGTAATTAACCACCAGTAGCTTTTTGTAGGTGATATCAACGACATAATCAATGGACATACGTTTTTTGCCACCAGTATCACGTGACTTTAAAATGGTATTTGTCGGACTATATAGTCTGGGAGTTAACGACATATTTCGTTGTACCATTTCCGCAAGCTTCATTCTTTTTGTATTTGTTATGCGTGTAGTATATGATATTAATATGAACGTCTGCCGGCGCACCCTCACGACAGGCGGTTACAGGAAGGTTTACAATTACAGCAAAAAATTTACGAAAAAAACTTATAGCCGCACAAGCGAAACTTATTGTACGTATTGGTGGAAACATAAAAAGCTTAGAAAATATCGTCTGCCACCTAAATGTCACGACAAAAGTCGTCTGCCATCCACAAGAATGAGCGCAAAAAAAATATAAAAAAAATTTACACCCGCAAGGCTGAAATTAATTGAAATACTTCTTTTCATATTAATAAACACAAAAATAATAATCTGCCAAGCCTATGAAGTTAGGTTTGGCATATGGGGGATCATAGAATTTTTGTAAAAAAACTAATTGCGCAATATTTATGAAGTTGTTTTTTGGCAGTACTTTCAATTGTCAATAGCGTCAGTGCAGGGGTCTCACAGAGTCTCCATAAATTGAGGTATAAAAGTCTTGTGGAAAGTGCGTGCAAATTTGAAATGTCTGGAGTAAAGCCTCACTGTGTTTTTTGTAAAAAAAAAACAGGAAAATTGCAAAAGTTTGGAATTCATACTTTAAATTAGTGATGACGCGAGACTCGAGACTGGTTTCGTCTCGTCTTGTCTCGTCTCGACTTTTCGAGGCGAGACTGGCTTTTGGTCGACGAGACGAGACCAGACTCGGCGAGAGTCTCGTGTAGTCTCGAGTCTCGAGATTACAGTTAAAATTTTTCTTTCATAGCTTTATTATTTGACTATTCTGGGCTATTTGAATATGAAATCAGTAAATTAAATATCAGGGTCACTCTTTACTGTGATTTTTTACTAATTGCTTTCTCACTGTGACAGTTTGGACTTCCGTTATAATAAAAAAACAAAAACCATAAATACAGGGTGTCCGAAAAATAGCGTAAAAACTCTCCACGTAGTAGAGGACCCTTTGAGAAACCCTAGTAAAATAATTAAATTAAAAAAATCCTTCTCCAGCATTATTCTTGGTAATATGAAGAGATAGATGTGAAAATTCACCTTCGAATTCTTCAGGTAGTTACATGGGTATTTAATTTAATTTTGACATATACCACTAGATTTTTTAAAGTATTTTTCTGGGGTTCCTTGTAGGGTCCTCCATCACGTAAAGAAGAGTTTTCACGCTAATTTTTTGGACACCCTGTATAGCTCGAGACCAGACGAGACCACTCGACACGAGACGAGACTTTGGTACTCGAGACCGAGACTAACCCTAAAGGCGGAAACCCATTAGCAACACGTCACGCCATGCTATACCACACCATACGATGTGACGAAAATGTATACGTATATTCTTCCATTTATTTACATGTGCCGCGTACACACTTGTCACACGCGATACCACGCCATGGCACGTCACGCCATCCGACGCCATGGCACGTCACGCCATCCGACGCCATGGCACGTCACGCCATCCGACGTGTGATGATTTCAAATCCTCAGATGCTGCCCACGCGTGTTGGTAGTACGTGTAGATATTCCCCGGCCGCTTCTCTAGCCCCGCCGCAATCTGTTTCTGTATTTATTCATATTCTGACGCGTCGCAAATAGTAATACAGAAAAATGCAGCAAGAATTTCTGATAAAAAAGGTACGGCAGTACGAATTCCTGCTTTTTAATCTTGTCTTTCACAAGATTATGTAAATAATCAAATTGTTCTCTCTTCATACGGAAGTACATGGTATCGATTACGATCTGCCTCCAGCTCCATCATTAATACATGAAAAGCACCATTTTTTCTCGATTCCTGTTTATTTTCTGCACCCGGAATCTCCTTTTTTTTATTCTGTAAAATCAGAGCCGCAACAGCACATTCTTCTAGAAACTCTAAGTCACTAGACGAACTTCTTCTATACTCCATAAGGTACTCAAAGCTATTGAAAATTTTTCTAAATAAAATGTATAGAATAAAATGAGCGTGTCATCACGTGGCGTGTTAAAAATTTGCACACAAACTGTCCCACGTGAACCTATGTCACATGGTGTGGGGTGGCGTAGCATGGCGTGGCGTGTTGCTAGTGGGTTTCGGCCGAAACCCACTAGCAACACGCCACGCCACCCTACGCCATGTGACACGGGTTTACGTGGGACAGTTTGTGTGCAAATGGACGGATGGCGTGGCGTGCCAAGGCGAGGTATCGCGTATGGCAAGTGTGTACGCAGCACATATAAATAAATGGAAGAATATACGCATACATTTTCGTCACATGGCGCGGTGTGGCAAAGCATGACGTGGCGTGTTGCTAGTGAGTTTCGGCCAGTCTCGTCTAGTCTTGTCTCGCGGCACCACTACATTAAATACAAGTGAAAATATTCTCTCAATCCGTAAAGAGAAGAATTTAGATTTGAGTTACGTTATATTACCTCAAGAAGTAAATGACTATCAGAGATACCACTCAGCTTGTTATTCGAAGTTTACGGCTGTGTCAAAAAAATACAAAGTTGTTGTTGTAAAGTAAAACTGTTGCTCATTTTCATTTTCAATAATTTCATCGAATTTCATCAATATTATTCAACATCAATTTTGACTGTACGCGATGAATCCCTCCATAATCTCTTTAAGAACTCTAGAACATTAAACTTGAGCTTTTTACAATTCATTCTGGTTAGTCTTACAAAAAAAATAAATAAAATAGATAGGAATAAGAGACAGATGCAGCGTCCTAGCGGTGGTGCTCGGGCACTGCATGCCGAACCCAACTTCATAGGCTTGGCAGACGATCTTCGTTGTATCTTATTCGTGGCAGACTATTATTTTTGTCTTTGTTACTATGAAAAGAAGTATTCCAATTAATTTCAGCCTTGCGGGTATAATTTTTATTTAAATTTTTTTTGTGCTAATTTTTGTGAGTGGCAGACGACTTTTGTCGTGGAATTTAGGTGGCAGACGATATTTTCTAAGCTTTCCATGTTTCTACCAATACGTACAATAAGTTTCGCTTGTGCGGCTATAAGTTTTTTTCGTAAATTTTTTGCTGTAATTGTAACCTTCCTGTAACCCCCTGTCGTGAGGGTGCGCCGGCAGACGTTCATATCTGTACAGACGTTCATATTTGTATCATATACCACACGCATAGCACATACAAAAAGAATGAAGCTTGCGAAAATGGTACAATAAAATATGTCGTTAACTCCCGGACTAATAGTACCGCACTGATGCACTTCTACTGTCCGTACTCCACCGAGAAGTGCCATAAATTATCTGAGTCTGAAAGACAATAGATAATTTTTTGCGAGGATAAGCAAGCATAATCACAATCTTTTGCTAGATTATATGATGTGTCATTTGTGTCATACTCCCCTAACATCAAATTCTGGGATACTAGAGGATCAAGAACACCTAATTGCTTCTGTGAGAACAAACCGAAAATCACCTTTCTACATTTAAAATCGACGAAAAAATTTACTCACTAGCACAGCCTGAATCGCAAGCATTCCATCGAGGTCTGCAGGTGACGTCATCACTACAAGCTGCTGATAGTGACGTTACTCGCAGGCCCGGAATTTAATGTAGAGGGAGTTAGGGGAGTATGATACAATTGACACATCACATAACCCAGCGTAAAGTTCACGCGTCCGCGGTTGCCGCATCGTGTCGAGTGCATCAGGGCTGGGATTACGACATTCTACTAGAATTCTACTTTCATGACGTCAGGTTGCCTAGCAACTGTCATCATCGCCTGTAGTGTACGCGATAAATGTGTCGCGAATGACGTCATGAAAGTGGAATTCTACTTGTCATGATTCCAGCCCTGGATTCCCTACAGGGCCTTTATTGTCGAAACAGGATATAAGCGTTCTGTCTTAGTTGCCCATATTTCTATTTCCATAACACTGACAAAGATAGAGCAATCGTTCTTTCTCGTGAGAACGCTGTTCCTCGGTTTCAAGAATAGGCATCCTGGTATACAACGTTGCCGTCTCTTTCAAAATTTAATTTTCCTTTTTTTTATATCTACGAGTTTTTTTTTATTCGTTTTTATCGGTCCCTTTAGAATCTGGTTGTGTGGGGGCCCCTCAGCACTGGGCGCCCGACGCAGAGTGCGTCGTTTGCTTCATGCTAGATCCGCCAGTGTATTGTTGACATGGTTACGCAGGCACACCGCAGCCACATCAAAAAATTATGGTGTGACCGGTGCGACACCTGGAGCGCGCCCGAAGTACTTTCTGAACGGAACAGAGTGCGCGCACTCGGTGTGTCTATAGCATTTATGAACGGCTAGTAGTGCGTCACACCGGTGTCTGAACTCGCCCCAGTGATGAAGTAGTAGCATGAGCATGTCAGTTGTCGTTTCCCGCCGTGACGTAGGGAAATTTCAAGGAATTCTAAAATAATCTAAACCAACTCTTTTTTAGATCTCGTTTGCATCTTCCTCTTTGCCTATTATGTTAATCAAAATTAAATAATTTTCACCATAAATTAAAATTCTACGACCACTGACGACTGACGCAAACAGCTGACGACTTGGTTAATGACGTCGGCAATGGTGTCACACCAATATGGCCGCGATTACCAAAAACGAGGTCGATAAGCAATCCTTAGTAGTGTGTATTATCCTTGCCACGCCACAGAACCAGAAGCCAAACAAAGGGCACATTCAGATTGAACTTCGGGCGTTCCGAGCGTGTTCTGGCCGTTCAGATTACTTTGTGTAAAAAATCGGGTACGCTCTTGGATTTGAACGCGCCCGCGAGAAAACGGTTGACATTTGTTAGTGACATTTGACTGACATGTTAATTGTCAACAAAATCAAAACAAAAGGAATAACGGTAATTGTTGTAAATTGTACTCTGTCCCGGCTTGTTTTTTATGCGCTTTTTTTCACCGTATGTATTTCTTGAATTACCCGGGCCGATATAAGTTATTTTTTAACGTTCGCTAATTAGTTCAACTCATTCCAATCAATTATAGATTAGAAAAATTAAATATCCAAATCTCAAATGACCGGTACTATTTTTAATTATGGCGCCTAAATTTCGGCCAATGAAGTGCTCGAATTTTGACTTGTCGGCCAAGAAAAGTCAATTTTAAAATGTCAGAAATGGTCGAAATGAATTCGAAAACTTTGTTGTTTTGTGAAATGTAATGCGTTTCTTCAGTAACTGAATAAAAGTGCCCTCGAAAAGCTTTAAAATGTTCATGAACGATGTAAATAGAAAAGAGGAAATACGTAACATAGCCATACAACATTTGAAGCAATATGGAATTAAATACAGATCGAAAAAAAGCAGGGTCCCTGTTCAACAGGTAGGTTGAATTTTAAGAATTTTTTACTATTTTTCGTTTTTACACACAAAATGTCGCAATTTAGGTCTCAAGACATGGAAAGAAATTCTTCAAAGTGCCATTGGTGAATCTAGAAACCGAAACTGTAACTCTGACCAATGGTCAGCAGCTTATCATACCAAAACGAGTACACGAAATATGTTCCTATGTTTTGACCAAAGTGCAAACGGAAGGTATTTTTAGAAGGGAAGGATTGAAATCTAGACAAAACGAAATTAAGGTTCATACTTTCTAGCCTTTCAAATATTCAGTTTTCTATAACAAATCATTTATTTTTAGTCGTCTTTGGATAGAGGTTGTCCCCTAGGTGATGGACATAATGTTATAGATGTGGCAGTGGTATTAAAAAGCTTTTTAAGAGAATTGCCAGAACCTCTTATTCCACATGCTTACAATGATCTGTTTTTAATGTGTAGTCTTAGCAAAAAAACTCCTAAAGAAATCCTGGAGTGTATACTATTAGCTTGTCTTTTATTGCCCAGTGAAAATTTAAATGTTTTGTCTTATTTAATGCAGGTACTTACTTATATAAACCGAATTTTTAGTTGATTTGTTGTAATCATATATTTTTCAGTTCTTTTATGAAGTGGCGAGTTTCTCTGTCTATAACAAAATGAGTTTTAGTAATTTGTCAATTTTGGTTGGGCCAAATATCTTTCCAATGGACGATAAATTGGCACCAAAGTCATCATTAACAATTACAAGAATATGTGATATAACTAAGGTAGGTACAACATTAAGGTCTGGTTCTGCAGAAATCACAAACCAGTCAGAGCGAATTTCATTGGTTGAAAACAGTCAGAAAATTAGTTTCATTCACTCTGACTGGTTGGTGATTTCTGCAGAAACAGACCTATTATTTGCTTGAGTTGAGTTTGTCAGTAATGTTTAAATTTCAGTTGTTAATAGAAAATTCTAGAAGCATTGGCTTTATACCTGATAATATTATCCAACAAATTGGACAACTATCGGATGAAAATGAAAAAAGGAGAAAAACTAAAAGGAGAAGTGGTTCGTTAACAAGTAATAAAATAGATGCAAATAGATAATTGTTTGTTGTTTTTTTAATAATGTAATTATTTGTAGACAAAGATTTTTTGTTATATTTAATTTCTAGGGATGTTGAATGGCCTTAAAAAAATTGTCAGCAGCAAAACCGAGGAAGAGGTAACATCATATGCAGTCACCCCAGATTTATTATTAACCCCAACAATTCAACCCTCCATTAAAAAACGTTTAAAGTCTGAAAGCGGCTTATCCGTAAAGAAAAAGTAAATTCTAATTTCTACAGTGTGAATATACTCTAATTTGAAACTAAATTTTCAGAAAAGACATTTCAACAAAGTTGCCGGATTGTGCTCTACTAAACACACCATTTACGCCAAGCAGAACTCCAATTAGTGTAAATCCCAAGTAAGTAAAATTTACTGAATGCAATGGTCATGGAGAATTGAGAATTTGTCCAGGGTGAAGTAAAGTAATTGTAGATCCAAAGAAAATTCCTTTAGTTAATCTTCCTTCACAATAAATTTTGTTGTCAAATTCGTATGATGCGTTTCAAGGGGTTACATCATTATTAAGGGTGATTGAAAATATACAAGATTCAAGATTCAATAAGCTTTATTGTCGAAAAAATACAAATTTTTTATAGACAAAGTTCAAAGCACAATAAATTTAGCAATACAAACAAAATAAAATACAATAATAATAACATAATAATAAAAAAAAATGCCCAATTAAGGCCGACAATTTTCGTACAGGCTCAGAAACTAATAAACTCAACAAATATTACAACATTTGACATATACATAATTACCTAATTTCCATTAAAATCAATTTGTAAATATCCAAAAACAAACAAGCATCAAAAAAAAAAAAAAAAATACAGATAGTTACATTCAATAAACAAAAAGTTACTGGGGGTTTAATAAAAGCAAATGGCAAAAATCAGCCCTAAGTCATAAATAAAGTGGCTCATTAAGTTTTTAGTATGCTAGAAAGTGTCATCATAGTACTCAGCCAAATCATAGTAAGCCTTCTCTTTCAATAAATTCTTAACTGACCTACGAAACCCTCTATAGTTTTCAGAAGACCTACAATAATTTGGAAGTTTATTGTAAATCTTAATACTCTCGAAAATTACTGAGTGTCTGGTCAAAGCAAATCTAGGAATTGGAAGTGGAACATCGTTGCGATTTCGAGTACTGTAAGAATGAGCATGAGTGTGATTCCCATATTTTTTAAATATCAAACAAACCATCTCCAATATAAATAAACAAACGACCGTCAAAATCTGCTCTCTCAAAAAGAGCAGTCTACAGTGGTCTCTCATACCTTTGCCGCACATATATCTTATAGCTCTTTTCTGTATTGTAAAAACCGAATTAAGTAGACCTCTACTGCAGTAGCCCCAAAACGAAATGCCGTATCTCAACTGTGACTTGATAAGTGCATAGTAGTGGATGGTATGAAAAAGACATATGCTGATATTGCAGGACGAAATACAACTACACCAAGGCAAAATCCTTCCCCTACTCAGTCGTCAAGTTCTGATGATATCCTTAATGAACTACAAGATCGGCAAAAACGCGCAAACAACATTATGATCTTTAACATGACAGCAAATAATGATGATATTACTGATACTCAAACCTTGTTTTCTCAAACTCTGGACGCCACACTTAATATTATTAGCACAACTAGGATTGGTAGGGGCAATAAGAACAACAATAGGCCTCTAAAAGTTGTGCTCTCCTCTTCACTGGAAGCTCAGTCTATTCTACATAACTGACAAAAGTTTAAAGGCAAGGATCAAGGATATATTTATTCAAGCCGACCTTACTCATCAACAACGTGCTGTTGAAAAAAAGGCCCACGACGAGTTGAGAGAGCACACATCAAACGGCGAAAATAATGTCACAATTAAATATATCAGAGGTGCTCCTACAGTGATCAAGAAAAAAAACTAGATACTTGCAATTTTCTTTGTTTATACCAGAATGTGCGGGGACTGAATAGTAAAACTTTCAATTTTTATAGTTCGGTTGCAGCTAGCAGTATGGACATAATAGCAATCACAGAAACATGGTTAAAACCAGAAGTAGCAAACTCAGAACTGTTTACTGAATTTTACTATGTTTACCGCTCTGACCGCAATTTCAATCAACTTAATGTTTCTAAGGGAGGAGGTGTTTTGGTGGGCGTATCTAATGAATATATGTCTCAGTCTGTTCCTTTGCCAGACCTGGAAGGCCTTGTCCCTGAAATTGACATTGTGTTGTAAAATCATTGTAAGCCACTATACTCTTTATGTTTTAGTCTTATATATTCCACCATCTGTACACATTAATCATCTCGAATTATTCTTTGACAATTTATCCCTACTCTATATCATACCTGAAAGGAATGTACTCATAATGGGTGACTTTAAGAGGCCTGGGTACCTCCCGCATAATTGAGATTCGATCGCAGCGCCATTTGTAGTTCACGAGTTACACTTTCACACAATTTGGCAACACCGCTAGCTGCCGGCCACTTTCCGTCGCTCGGCTGGCTTCGCCCCAAATTATTTATCCTAAAGTTCATTGGCGCACGGTAGCCATATTCAAATCATAAGATAACCAAAGGCGTAGGAGGATTTATTTGGTTTTATCATTTGTGATTATCGCGTTTATCATATCAAATAATTTGAAGTAAATGGAAAAAAATAAAAATAACAAAGTGTAATTCTTTTTTTAGCGTAGTAGCGCACCCCAGGTATACACTAGTTAATTTTTATTACACACTTTGTCGTTCAATTTTCTTCAATTTGAGTACCTATTTTTGAAGCACATTGAACTACTTAAATAGGTGTTATAACCACTGTAGTGCCCGTATTACATCTCTGTATTTTTCCGTGTATTTATTCATGTAGTTCAGGGTGCCAACGTGCCAACATTATTTTGTTGTTCATATTGCTGATTTATGTTGCGTTTGAAGTTTTTCAGTTGTCACCCTGAACTACATGAATAAATACACGGAAAAATACACAGATGTGCACGAAATTATTTCGTGCTCTAGTGCGCAAAGTATTTCGTGCACGTCGCTAAGGTACATAAAACCAATTTGAGATATTTCGCACAGAAATGAGTGTGAAAATGTCGTAATTTTTTGACAAATTGTGTTTTTATCCGTCAGATTACATAACCTGACAGTTTATCAGAAGGTGAATAAGCCGGCCCTAAAGAAACGATAAATGGGTAAAGCTTGTTTTTTTTTTAAATAAAAAAATCTTATATTCCTGTGAACTAGTAAATTTACCTCATGGATTCCGCAGAATTTATCTCCATTGAGTTTTTTTTTTTATTTGATGGATGAGCATCAGTAATTGTTATTGTCATTATTGATGCTGAGATAGTTATTTTCCTAACAAATGCGCAAAGTGTTACTTTTCCGCACGCAAGCACAGTTAAAGTCTGTTTTTTTTTAAAGATTCCCCAAGTCAAAAATTTAGTGAGCAACTATGTTGGCAACACAAGCCTTTTCTACATTAAAAATTTGAAAGCATAGACAATTTTACATTGTATTGCCAACATAATGTCATTTTGACTTTTATCTTTTAAAAAAAAAAACAGACTTTATATGAACGACGTCAAGCGGAGTTCGGATAAGTTTTTGGACGAGGAAAAGACACTTTGCGCACATGTTGGGAACAAAATTTTTCCTAAGAATTTTTACCGCACTTAGTGTACATTAATAAAGAATATGAACAATATCAAACTTATTTTCAAAAGAGTGCGGTAAAGAAGTTTAATCTACCAGCGTGCGGTAACTAAGGTATATCACACGATTTTGCGTGCGGTATGTACCATATAACCGCACGACGTGTGGTGATTTTATTACCGCATGACGTGCTGTAATAGCGTGTGGTAATACTATTACCGCATGCCTTCAATTACCTAACTATCACCTAAATTCTACCCGTCCACTGTCAAATTAATGTGCCAGAAGCAATTTTATTTTCTATAAATTTCCAAACTTCTATCGGATATTTTGCTACCGCACGGTTATAGATAAAATACTGTATATAATTCGTATGGTAAATAGATTATGTCCGCCCTTAGAGATTGCAAAGCTCGCCTCACCGGCTCGGTTGGCAAATTTCTCGCGTGTGCGGTAATAACCTAAATACCATACTTGTTTTGTAATATACTATTACAGCACTGCGGTAAAGAATTTTTATGTACGACCCACACTGTAAGAGCTTATTACGTAACTCATTTAAGCCTGTTTGAGTGTTTGAGTTACGTAATAAGTTGTATTATCGTACTTAGTGATGTAATCAGCTCATTACATCACTAGTGATGTAATATAAATCACTTGTGATGTAATGCGCTCATTACGTAACTCATTTTCATTGAAAAACGGCACTTTTTAAAATTAATTTATTCGGAAAAGTTATAAATTTAATCTTTTGTGGAAAATAAAACCAATTTGGAATACATACAAAAAAATCTGCGTCATACATAAAATGCTGTATATCACACGTACCGTAACGCTCATTACACCACTCGTGTGATTACCACTCTTTACTGTAATAAATGAAGTTCATACCGCACTTGTGATATAAATAACTATTACCTACGAACGTGCGGTAATAGTTATTTACCTAACATATGCAGAAAGTGATACTTTACCGCACGCAACGGCAGTTGACCGAACGACGCGGAGCGGAGTTCGGTCAAGCCCTTAAGGGCAGTAAAGGCAGTTTCCGCATGTGTTAGGTACAAAATTTTACCTATGAGCATCTAACATCTCCAAAAAAAGGCATTAATAAAATTAATTAATAAATCAGATTAATTAATGAAATAAGATTAGATTTAGAAATGATCAAAAATCCATTTTCCGAAAAAAAAAAGGATTTTTCATCATAAATACCAAAATCTACTTTACCGCATACTATGCGGTAAAGTTAACTTTACCGTACACTTGCAGTCCACTTTACCGCATACTATGCGGTAAAGTAACTTTACGGCATAGTGTGCGGTAGAGTGCTACTTTCCATTTCCAAATAAGTGCGGTTAAGTGCACTTTACCGCACGCTCGTAGGTAAAGTAACTTTTCAGCACTGAGTAGGCTCCCTACGACACGCAAATGAGTGCGGTGAAGTGCACTCTACCGCACGGCATGCGATAATATTATTACCGCACGCTCTATCCACATAGGTACGTAATACCTTCAATCGCCTACCAAAGATAAATTACCTACCTATCACCTAAATTCTACTTGTTCACTGTCAAAAGTGAAAGGCTCATTTTTTTCATCATTCTTTAAACTTCTTTTAGATATTTTGTTACCGCATGATTGTAGATAAAATACTGTATATTAGGCTATTACCGCCCTTAGAGATTGCAAATTTCTCTCGCGTGCGGTAA